TTCATTCCGCTGTGGCAACTCCTGATAAATAAATAAACATGATGTTCTTCTCACTGGCTCTAAAACACAAAAGCAAAGTCAAAGATTTGCTCAGTAACATTACAGTTAAAGTTTGTGTGTTTGCATATTTGATCAAACCTTGTCCTGTGAAGCTAATATTAGTATCGTTACTTATTTCGTATATCTCTTTATCTGGACTATTACCTTCATTCTGTCATTTCGTTGAGGGGTACTACTACTATTGCGCATGCTCTCGTTGACTATTGCAATGCTTTATACTTAAGGTGTGCTTCCAAATCATATATAATATTTGGTCTGACAAAGAGTACAAAACAAGGGGTAAATGAAAGGGGTAATGAGAGATAGAGGCTGTACTCACACTATGTACAGTTCCCTTGAACCGGGCCAAAGCACGCTTGTCCCACCTTCCGTCTATCTCGACGGCCCAGACTCGCAGTACATTCGGGCCTGAGCATGCTTACGTCATTGATGATGCATTGTTCAGTAAGTGCTCTCACTCAGCACAGTGGAGATTTTGTTAGTTATATGGTTTCCGTCGTTTAATATGCAGTGACATGCAGTCAAATGTGTCCCCGAACAGATCAGCCACTTTCGACGCTCATAAACAATCAAAGTCCTCATGCTGCAGGAATTAGGAGGTTTGCTAAAGGTGCAGCTGTCATGCAGTGAGAGGTTTGCGTCTTGAATAAACTACGACAGTTTGCGTTCATTAAACAGTAAGAATGATCAATTGATCCATATGAAACAGTCCCTTAGAAGCCATGTCTCACTTTAAGTTTCGGGCTCTGCCGTGTTTTGCACTTGCACGCAAGTGCACCACGCCAAAGCCCTAGTGAACCGCGCTCTGGCACACCTCTTCCAACCGGGCCAGGGCTGGCCAAGTGAACTGTGCCTGAGTCCGATTCAGAGCACTCACACTTCTCAAATGATCCGGGAAACGGGCAGGGCACGGTTCGGATAGCATAATGTGAGTACGCCCTGAGAGAGGAGACTGATAATGAATAAGAAAATCAGAAAAAGGCAGGAGAGACTGAAACAGGAAGAACAACAGGGAACAGGACAAAATAAAAACAGAACATGAAAACAGATAAAGACTAAATAAAAATACAGAAAAAAAAATACAAACAGAAAAAAACGGGAAGAAAAAAAGAAGAAAATTAAATAAGAGGGCACATAAACAACAAGAAGAAAAGTTGATGAAAAAAGAAGAGATGAGACGAGATGGAAAAAAATCAGTGAAGAAAATGAGAAAAGGAGAGACAGAATGAGGCAATAGGAGAAGAGAGGAGAAAAAGAGGGAGAGCAGATTTCTCCATTTGTGCATTCAGTCTTTCTGTAATTGCATTAGAATTTCAATGGTGCTTTTGAAAAGCACAGAGCGGGAGCAGCCCTCCAGATGAATCAGACCACGCTGAACATTTAAAGTGAATCGCATGCGAGCTCAACATAAAGTAGCATTGATTAAACTTAATTAGGCTTTTGGTGGGCACTCAGACTACACTCTGCGTGTGTGTGCGGCGACGCTTTTAAAAGGCACACAATGGATCAGTTCATCTGTAATGAAGAATATCGGCGCTGGCACTCGTGTTTGTTCGCGGGAGACACCGAGATGAACCTCTGACACAGATAAAAAGGATGTGATAGTATTTAAAAGTCGTTCGTTTACATGGCTCTGACTCATCTTAAACAATAGCGAGCAGGAAAATGAAGCGAATTGCAGTAGGAAAAACCAAAATGCATTCGCTTTGGGATGACCAGAGCTGATCGGAACCGAAGGGACGCCACTGGTTGTTTGAATTCGCAGCTCACTGAGCTTTTCGGATCCCCGGCGGAGTGTAATTGGTATAATTCGCAGGATTAATCAAAATGTGGAGCGCTGGAATCGGGAGGTGCTCCAGCAGAGCGTCTGGTATGCGGCCAGGAGGAATTAGCTCTGCTGTCTCTCTTACATTAAGTCTGTTGTTTATTTCATTCATTTAAACCGATCTGCCTCTTCTCATACAGCCAGATTAGACAGCACACACACCTACAGTATACACACAGGATGCAATTCATGGGTAAAAAGCAACATGAGGGCCAAACAATAAGATGTTCCTCGTAATGATCAGGAGAGCTCTATGACGCGTGAGATGTTTCCAGCAGTCTCTTGTGAAGCACATTTACTGACAGCCAGAGATCAGCGGTGAGAGATGGAAATGTGAGATCACTCGAGTGTCTTCAGCGCCGGTGTGTGTGTGCGTGTGGGCTTTAAATGCCAGCTCTGTCAGGCATCACACTCTTTCTTTAGTGGAAGAGGAGACAGGAATAAATAAATAAATCCAACCCAGGCTTATTCTGAAAACGTAGCCCTGTGTACATTTCTGGAAAGCATCAAATACATCCCAAGAGGTACTTTTTTTTGTAGCAGTTTTTGTTTTCGCGAATCCACTAGAGGTGGCTGTGTACATTTTTTGAGATCTTAAATTTCTCTTGCAAGTGCCATTCATGCCTGCTCTTTTCTCGTAAACCCACGAGAGGCAGCTGTTGACTGACTGACTGACTGATCGACTGACACACCCTCCACCTTCCTTACACCCAACCAATAGTGTTTTTAAAAGCACCGATTGACCTGCTCACCCACTTTCCTAAACCCAACCAAACATTTGATTTGATTTTTACCACATTATTTAGATTTTACCACATTCTCACTCTTTTATTTACTTGTTTATTTTATTTTTTGGCTGTTTTTTATCTTACCAGCTTTCTGTAACACTTCTTCGTTGGACTTGAATCCTGTTGTCATGGTCAACTCCTCTCTGCGTCTCAAGTCTGCAGACATACATGGCGAGTTAACTGGTCAAACTGGTAACAGCAGAAAAGCTGTCCACAGGTCAGCTGGAAGTATGAAAACTAATGGAGTCAAATTGCCCCAGAGCATTCGTTTTAAAGACTTGTACTTCTGGCTACATATTTCACGATCTCTAGAAATGTATATAGGGGTACGTTTTCAGAATGTTAAATGAACCTCACACTGGTCTATTCCATAGCACCACTGGAGATTCAACAGGCTTGCGTTTCCCAGAGTAAAAATCAGGTCCTTCAAGATAAAAAAAAAAAAAATTACAATTAAATAAAAAAATAAAACTTAAATAATATTTGACTAGATATTTTTCAAGACAATTCTACACAGCTTAAAGTGACATTTAAAGGCTTAACTAAGTATGTTAGGGTAATTATGCAAGTCATTGTATAATGATGGTTTGTTCTGTAGAAAATTTAGCTTAAAAGGGCTAATTATTTTGTCCCTAAATGGTGTTTTAAAAATGTAAACTGCTTTTATTCTAGTTGAAATAAAACAAATAAGACTTATTGCAGAAGAAAAATATTATCAGACATACTGTGAAAATGTATTTGCCCTGTTAAACATCATTTGCGAGGTATTTAAAAAAGAAAACATTGTTTTGTACTCTTTGTGTGTGTGTGTGTGTGTGTGTGTGTGTGTGTGTGTGTGTGTGTGTGTGTGTGTGTATATATATATATGATCATTTATCGCTAATAAGAGATTACTTTCACTTTCTTTCAGCTTCGTCCCTGTTTTTATTATTTTTAATTAATTACAATATATATTTTAATACAATTGTAGTATCATCTAAACTTATGACACTTTCAGGTTTTAAATCTGTAGCACTGTATTAATGAAGACATAAGGACAGATGAATGCAGAGAATAACAAATGTGTGTCCTGCAGCTGTATTTGTAACGTACATAGAGAGGGCACACGGTTGTGACATGCAAATGTGAGCATGGAAAAACTGTACACAGCCGCACATACATTCAAATCAATTTCATAAGCTTGCATATTGTCAGCGGCTTCGTCACATTAAAGGACTACACAGTATCAGTATGTTATATACACAGTAGCCTAGGTAGGTCTACAATTACATCCTTAAAAGATGTCCAGAATAAAGCAGGTCGTCTGCTTTGATAGAGACACCACCACACTTAAAAATATAATATAAAATAATAATAAATAAATAAAACCTTCAGATTTACACAAATTACAGAAGTCACCCCATTGAGCTCGGAAAATATGGAAATAGACATTTATATGGAAGAATCACATCCCTGAAAAATAAACAAGCAGTACTTTGTTTAATTAAACATCCATGTGTGAATATTAAGAAATTAAAGCAATGACATGTGGCCTTTCAGTACCTTTTTAATTAGAATAAATGCAGCTTCAACACAACTAACAATCTGGAAAAAAGCATTAACAGCAGTGAGTGTTTCTCTCTCTTTTAATTTAGTTATGTTTTTTAGGACAGCTGTGTTGAACTGTAATAAACAACATTTTGGCTAAAAAGAAAAGCAACAGGTGGGCTTAAAGCATGCTTTTTAGGATTGCATCTTATGACATCATATCCTGTTTTTGATTCCTTTACATGCTATTTCAGTCAAACTGCATCAGAGTCTTGGTTCAGATGCCAGCGTGCACACATTGAATCGCACTAAAGCCCAATTTCTTCGAGTGTTCAGTGTACCCCATGGCGCATCCCCTGCACGTAGCCAGTGCTGTTGTGAGCATTTATACTTCTGCTGTGTTGCTCTGCAATAACACTTTTGAAATGCTAGTAGGCAGTGGGGTTTCTATTTTCCAGTGTGTGGAGTTTATTTCCTGGTGTTTACAACAGAAATGTGTGGGACGCTACTGTAACATTAGTTCAAACTCACTAATTTCAGGGAGGAACAAGGTAGGAACCACAATTTTAAACATGAAATAAACACAAAACAAAAGTGTTTCACCCAGAATTCCTCCACGAGACTTGAAGAATGAGTTTACTTCTTTTGAACACACTTATTTTATTGAATGTGAGTTACTGGCATTTATTTGATTTTCTACTATGGAAGTCAATGGCAGGGATGGGTCTCGTTAAAGTTTTAACTCTATCAATAATTTAATCGATTTAATCGAGTATTTAAACTGTACTCTTATCTGTACTTTTTGTAGTTTTTTTATGAATTAACAATTAGTTTTATTATTACTTTTTAAAAAGTAAAATAAAATGAAAGTGTAAAACAAATAAATACAATTTGTTTCTGTTGAAGGAGCACAGTTGGAGCATTTCTTATTGTGCTCTCTGCAGTTAAAAAAATCCTCTTTCAGTTGCAAAACGCAGTAAAACGATCAGCTGTGGCTAATGTTTATGTTTATCATTAACACATTCACATTAATGAGGTAACTGGAAATATTTATTAAACATAGTTTATTATTATTCATCTACAGTATGTGTACATACAGTGAAGTATTTCTAATGTTTAAGATGGCAACATGGTGGCTCAGTGGTTAGTAGCTAGGCAGTCGAAAACTTTGCATTTGTTTGCAGTTAATGCATTTTTGAAAAATGCTTAGCCAGATTGCTTGAGTTTCCGCTATAAAAAAACAACAACAACTTGTTGCAATGGCATTGTGAGTGTCCACTCGGAAAATAACTATACTCTTGACTGTTTGGCTCTCTTCACCATCGTCACTCTAGAAGTACAAGCTTACAAGCTGAACTTACAAGCTTAGTCTTGTGTTGTGTGTGTTAGGGCTGCACGATATTGAAAAAAAAAACTCACAATATTTTTTTTTACTGTGATGTTTGCGATATGAATACAATTTTAACAGATGACTTAAATGTCTCTTTGTAAAGAATGCACAATTTTAGATTGATTGGGCTGATTTTTGTAGGGGTGATTAAAATACATACAAAAATGACAAGCAAAGTTAAATATGTATACAACAGAGCAAGTATACAAATTAAATAAACAATGACTTATGATTTTCTGAGGATTCAAACCGTATTCAGCAACAGAAATAAAATAATCACTGTATAATGTAATAATAACTTTCGATTTCATTGAGTAAAAATTTATAGAAAAGTACAATTAATCTTTAGGGTACAAACGTTTCATTTATTGTGCCCAAATGCATTAAATTAGCTTCAAATGCTAAATCACAGGCCTAAAAATCAAACACAAATAATCAACATCCACTCCAAAGTTAAAATTTAATGCACCTATGGAAAAAATGATGCCACTATGTTGTGAACTGTAATGTCTAGTTAATTGTAATCATAACTTGACACTGCAGATTCTGCAATGTGACTATTGCACACTCGCACATTGCAATATTGATGCTGAAATGATATATTGTGCAGCCCTAGTATGTGTAAGCAAGCTCTGTGTGATTTAGTTTCGCCTGGGTCCGCTGTGCAAGCCACCGCTGAGTGCCATGCACCGCCGAAAACTGTAAAGGCTTTTATACCTCAATAGCTCGCCATTATACTATTGGAACCAAGAAAAACATTTCTCACATGAGATTCCCAACAGTGCGGATGAATATAAAATTTAGCAAATTAGAAAAGGTAGTTCAGTTAAATTATGCACTAGCAATTCATTATTGACTACCGATAGCAGAACTGTTAACATCAGAGCTTATCGATACCTCTCTTTAATTTATCCATACCGATAAAGTTCAGAGTTTCTGTACCCATCCATAATCAATGGATACCTTCAACCAGCATTTTTAAAAAGATCTTCTTTTATGTTCAACAAGAAACTCATAAAGCCTTATATCAACATGTGGGAGAGGTAAAGGTCATTTTTGGACAAAGTGTCCCCCTCCTGAAGTGTAATGTAATGTGTGTATTCATATAGTGCATTTATCTGGTATGGCTATACATCCAAATCACTTCACAATCATGAGGGGGTTCTCCCCACTCCACCACCAGTGTGCAGCATCCACTTGGATGAAGCGACGGCAGCCACAGGACAACAGCGCCAGTGCGCTCACCACACATGACAGCCAATTCAGTGGATGGGGATGATTGAGAGGCCATGACGGGTAAGGGGTGATGGAGGGAGTTTGGTCAGGACACCAGGGTTACACCCCTATGAGAAGTGCCATGGGGTTTTTGACCTCAGAGAGTCAGGACCTTGGTTTAACGTCTCATCTGAAAGACAGCGCTCACTGACAGCATGGTGTCCCCTTCAATACACTGGGGCATTAGGAGTCACACAGACCACGGGTTGAGTCCCGCCTACTAGTCTCACTAACACCACTTTCAACAGCAATCTAGTTTTCCCATGTGGTCTCCAGATAGTGACCAGGCTCAACCCTCCTTAGCTTCAGTAAGTAACCTTGGGCTGCATGGTGATATGAAAATAGAAAGTGTCCCTCCACATTCATCACATCTACACTATACCAAGTCAGGCAATCACAGATCATGTGCTCAGAGCAACATTTTTTAGAGGTCAGATTTGTAACATAGTTATTAAAACATGTAGTAAAAAAGATGCTGTGTGTCATACTAATCTCTGGTCGCTGCAGAAATCTGCAGTTTAATATATCTTCTCACTCTTTATTTTAAGGCCGTTGGGCCACTGAGATCAAAATACTCAGACAATTTGACAAATAAAGCTGGATTCCTCTGAGTCTAATAAAGGAAACAAACAAATAAACCTGCAAAGATCCTGTTCTGAAATCCTCACACACAAACACAAACACACACTGCACTCTGAGCTAAATTACAGCCAGGTGAAAACACTGAACAAGTCCAGGGCTGTACGCTGCCTCTCAGGTTCAACAATTAGCACTCAAGAGGGACATTTCTGCTAATTAATTCTGAATCTGTAATTAGTGAGAGAGATGGGGAATTGTGAGGAAGTGCTGAGAGAGAGAGAGAGAGAGAGAGAGAGATATAATAATATAATACATATCTCTGTACAAGATATATTATTTATATTTTATTTAATTATTATATATAAATATAATGTTTGTTTTTTTACTACTGCTACTATTTATTGTGTTTACTGTATTTTTTAATCTTATATGTATGTTACTTATTATGTAAACATTATAAATGCTTACATTTGTATTATTTGTCATGCCAATAAAGCAATTATTGAATTGAATTGAGAGAGCGAGAGAGGAGCATTACACAGGCAACCATTTCAGGCAATGCATATAAAGTAACACCACTTGAAAAGCTAAATATGCCAAACCACATAGACTCAACAGCATCTCAGCTTTGTTTTTGGAATTTTCACATGCCAACTCTCCCATGACAAATGGGCTGAGCACAAATATGAGACTGATCATTGTACCGCAACAGTTAATTTACAGCAACATGCCTCATGTAACATATCTTTATGAACAAATTCACCACAAACTAACTCAAAAATAGAAGAAAACAAAAACTAAAATGCACAAAACCACTTTATTTACCAAATAGCACTTCATTTTACCATTCACACTCTTAATCCAGTACATTACAATGCACAGGAATGCAATAAAATGCCAATTTAGCTAAAAAATTTAAAAAACAAGTATAGAAAGATTGATGTAACTTCCATTTAACTGTACTTTAATAAAGTAGACTTCACTGAAACTGTGAAGATTTCTATTCCAAATAAACAATTATTATTTTTTTTTTTTGCAATAAATTTCTTCCAATTGCCACAAGATGTTTTATTTCTCCCTACAAACCAAACTAATACATTAGAATGATTACTGGTGGATAATGTGACAATCATATGACACTGAAGACCAGAGTAACTGCAGATGAAAATGAAATTATAATCATTTCAAAATATTAACTATAAACCATTTTATAAACAATGCTTCCTAAAAGTAAAAAAATAAAAATAAATAAATAAACTTGACAAACACATTTAAATGTGAAGTATGTAAATTTGACACCCAGTGGTTGAACTAGGTATTGCACGTCTGATTCAAAACATGCAAGCGCAGGTTGCCAGATTGACGACACCAACAGGAGCGAGCCTGACTGAAATTTCTATTTTAGAAACAGCTTCTATTTCTTGGAGCAGATCAACAGAAAACTGACAATGATCATCTCAGGTACACCTCATGTGCTTTAATCAGTGTTAAATGCTAATAATGTTTGAATGCCATTTTACCTGATATTGATTGGCGTACTACTATAAGCAGCCGCAGATCTTGAAAATAAAATAAACCCCTTGGAATTGAACTGTAGAACCATGACACATATCAGTGATTCAGTGTCTACATTTAATAATGTTAAAGGTTTAATATGTATTAATTAGATTATAAACCTAACCATTTCAGTGGAGTGCAGTGAGTGCACTATTCTGTGCTTCTGAATGGCTGTATTTAAATTTCTGTCACGTTTTGTCTGCTGCAAACAGCTAAATTGCTTATCACTGTGTATCTCATCACATAGTGTGTTGTTAAGACACGGGGTTACAATGTAACCTGCTCACATAATGTTTATGCTTATATTATTTGCTAATTAATGTGGAACTCTGAATCTGCGTCTCATTTAGAGTCTGCTACAGTCCAGCAGAGGTCGCATTTGGTCGTGGATGCACACTTTGAGAGCCTTCCTGACTGAATGAATGAATGAAATATGCTATTTTACACAAAAGCACCCGGGGTGCTGAAATATAGTTGACTAAACTGGCATTGGGTGGGTTAAATAACCAAAACAAAGACAGCCGCTCCGGCATGTAATGCACATTTTAAAAGCAGAATATCTGACTTCAGCATTGTTTTTCATGTTGAAGAATATTCACTTAGCGTATTTTCTAAATTTCTGCAAACATATTATGTAATAAATAGATTTATTTAAATAGATCGCATGTAGGACTTAATACTTTTTAAGGGCCTTACATTTCTCTACACTGATTTATCAACTTTTAATACTTCAAGACCCTGCGGACACCCTGTATTAGAAACCTGATGAATGAAAACAGAAACATGTAAACAGAGTCTGGAATTAGTCCAAAGAGAGCTTGCCATAATGAAAAAGCAGACTGATGCTTGGAGTAACAGTAAAACTGGCCTCAGAACAGCTCTATTGAATATGACACCACAGAGGCATTAAGAGTGAATGGACTGCAGTAACGTCACACCATTAACTGGAGCCCTGTGTAATCATCCTAACACTCGTAAAACCCTCCGTCTCCTCCTCTTTTGTTTCAGATG